CTCACATTCCATGTCCCAATCACCAGTGTCTGCTTACAACTGTTCCTCTTCCTTTGTATTTCCATGCTTGAAAACTCAACCTCCTTTGCCATCTCTGTTATCTAAATGTTGTACATAGGGTTTTCAGAGGCCTGCTATTTCAGAAGTGGATGGCCAATCCTTCTTCCTAGTCTGTCTTAATGTACTTGCTGGAGAAGTCATAGATAAGAATTAAGACCTGGATAAACATGAAATCCTTGTGAGGCTACTTTGATGATCCAGAGGCAGGTGGGAGCAGAGGGATCAGGACAAGATGAGGATAATACGTGTTTATGTGAGGGCGTAATGATTGTGTCCTCAGTGGTCTGTGTGGTATGAGGTGGTGTATGTGAATGGTCTGAGGTTAAGTGTGTATATAGTCTGGTGTAGGAGTGGGTGGATAGAGAGTTAGGATGGACATGTGGTCCATCTTCCACTTCACCCCTACCCCCTGGAGTTGTGTATCCAGTTTTCTGCTCTCTCCAAAATCTAAAAATGTCAGAAATCTAAAAAACTCAGAAAATGAAAATAACATCTGGACATTTTGCTTGAGAAACTACCCCTGTTGGGGTTGTCTCCTGATGCACTGATTTCTAGAAAATGAAAAACAAAACAAAAAAACCCAAACCAAACAAAATCCAACCCTGAACTCTGGAACATTTGTAGCCCCCTGAGGTTTCTAGTACACCCATGTTTCCTCTGACACCCTCTTCATCTCTATCCGTCCCTATTTACATGTACAATGACTGGGTATCTATACCATATGGGGACATAGGACAGGCCAGGGGTTTTCTTGTTTCACCTTAGGCCCAGTGTATCTTAGCTTCTGGGACAGGGTTTTTTGATAGTTATCTTGGGTTCCCTATGGATGGATGATCCTGCTGCTAGACTGACTTCTCCACCCCTGCTAGGGGTGGTAAGGTTGGCCAGGTGGGGGCGGGGGGGAGGCAGGGCAGCAATTGAACAGATTAATGGAAGCACCTGATTTCAGGTTTCAAAATGAGTCACTTCTCTCTCCAGTCCCAGCTTGATCTTTGACCATCTATCTCTCTGCTTCCCCTGGGCCCAAGGCCATCTTATTTCTGCTGTGCGTCCAGATGGTTTCTAAGCTAGAATTTTCCCTTTCCCCACTGGCTCAGCGTCCATCCAGGAGGAAGCAGAAGGCTAGTCTAAGTTTTTTTGGTGGCTACATTCCTTCCAATAGCCCATTTAGATCATCTTCCTCTTGATGCCAGAATCCCTGGGCTACCCTTGTTTAGGGTTGTACATAAGTAGCAGGGTCTCACCACCTTGGTAAAAGCTGGTCCTAGGCCCTCAGCCTTGATACCATTAATTTCTCCCATAAGTACTTTTTTAGCATCTCCTTGGTTCAGTCATTATTTTCAGGCTATAGGTGTGACTTAAGCAGAAATCTCTACCCCAGATCTTCTAGTTGTGGTGAGGAGGAAATGGACAGTAAAGAATAATTAAAAAAAAAAAAGAATAATTTTTAAGGAACCCTGGTGGCACAACAGTTAAGCCTCCAGCTGCTAACTGAAAGATTAGTGGTTCAAACTCACTCTTGTTAAGATTACCAAAACCAAATGCATTGCTGCTGAGTTGATTCCAAATCATGATGATTCAATTAGATGGACGAGAACTGCCCCAGAGGGTTACCAAGGCTTTGAATCTTTATGAAATTGACTGTCACATCTTTCTGCAGAAGATGGCTTTGAATGGCCAACATGTTATCAGCCAGATCCTTAGCCACCAGGGTTCCTCCTTTAAATGAAGACTAGAATTTTATGAGACAGTTCGACTTTGTTCAGTCAGTGTGAGTTGGAATTGATGGCACACAATAATACCAACAACATTTCTAATGTTATTTTGGGAGGTCTTACTAGAAAAGGTGACATTTGAGCACTGGTGTTAAAAAGAGTGAGGGAATGAGCTACTTGGAAATGTGGGTGGGGAAAGGGTATTCCAGTCACACGGAACAGCCAAGGCAAAAGCTCTGAGGTGTATTGAACAACTATTGTGTGCTGGCCTTCAAGTTGGAACTGACCCATAGCTGACCCTCTGGTGAGTTTTCAGAGGCTTCAAATCACTTGGGAGGAGACTGCCCATCTTTCTCCCTGGGGAAGCTGGTAGATTTGAACCAAGTGCCTTTGGGATTGCAGGAACAGCTTCTTTCTACTAGGCCACCAGAGTTCCCCTGAATAGCAACTAGGAATGGCGTGATAAGGAAGTGATTGCCCTGGAGTTGAGCAGGACTCATAGTGACCCTATGAACAAAATATGTGAAACCTTTCTATAGCTGTTATCCTGTCTCAAGGTTCATAGTTTCCAGAGGCATGTTGTTTAGGAAGTGGATGCCACTCCTGCTTCCAAGGTTAGAGTGGTATAGTATAAAAGGATCCAGTGAGATAGGACCCTGAGGGCCACTTTGGGTTGTTTATTTAAGGTGATGAGAGACATTCACAGATAAAGAAAAACATGACCTGACTTAGATTGCAAAACTCTAGGTGTGGCCCCAGGGTTCCAATCTGATTTAATCTGTGTAGCAAACCTTGAGGATTACCTGTGTGCATTGATCCCCTTCCCGATCTCCTCCATGGCACCACCCAGAGGTTGGTCTGAGTAGGATTCCCCCTCCCATGTATCCCCCCTAACAGCCTGAGTAGACCAGTGGAGTGGTCCACTAGTTGCTGTGACAATGGTTGGCTGGGGTAGCTTGGGAGAGGCAAGCTCTTCCTTGTGACTGTAGGGAACATTCTACCTTTGTAGTTTGGGGTGATGTGGCACTAGTGCCAGAGAAACATACCATTCTCTGGATGTGCTTGGGGCCATGTCAGTGGTCCTGTGGTCCCGAGTGAGCCCCTTGCTCCATCTACAGATGGGTTGCTGCCACTACACCTGAAAATGCCTGCTGTAGAGCCCTCTGCTCCTTCAGTGAGGCTGCCCCTAAAGAGAACAACGTGCCACTGGGTGGGCCCTTGCTCTCAGCCAGCCACCCAAACCTGAGTACTCAGGTGGGCTACTTAGGAGCAGGATCCCAAGGGGCTCCGCATAGATAGGCAGACACTGAAAAAAGTCCCTGTCCATGCTAGCTTTCTAAGAATGCTAAGAGATGCCAGGGTCCACAGAGGTTGAATAGTTAACACAGTTCATTTCACTGCCTCTCCTTACTATGTTACCTTGAACTTTAAGGGATCCATAGTGATTAGGCAAATGCTAATCTGGGCTTCCCCCTACTCAGATTGCCATGGATCGGATGAAGAAGATCAAACGGCAGCTGTCAGTGACACTCCGAGGGGGCCGAGGTATTGACAAGACTAATGGTGCCCCTGAGCAAATAGGCCTGGATGAGAGTGGTGGTGGTGGTGGTGGTGGCAGTGACCCTGGAGAGGCCCTCACACATGCTGGGGAACCTCGCTCTGGACGGGGCCTACTCAGCGCTGCACAAGGTAGAGCAATTGACTGTTCTCCACTCCACCCTCTAGACTGCTTCCTAGATGCTGCCTTTTGACCGAGTTTCTCTTAAGATTTGTGCAATTTTTATTTTTGTTTGTTTACTCCCTTTTCCCTGTCCCCCAGCTATACTCTCCTCTCCCTTCCATTCTCTATAAGCACCCTTTATCTATCTACTTATACCCCATCACTTGGCTTTGTACCCAGGCATCTCCTGTCTGCAGCACTTCCCATAAACCTCCTCTTGCCCTTCTGTACTCTGTGATGTCCTCCCCACAGGCCTTCCTGCCCTGGACCTTCCTTCTCAGGTCCATTGGCTGCCTCAGCCACCATCTGCCTACTGACCGTGGGCCAGCTACATTCTCAGTGTTCTCCTGAAACAGAATACTTACTCTGATCACCCTGTCCTAGATTTGTCTGGGCCTCCTTTGGGTCCTGCTACCTTCTTCTTCCTGAGGAATTCCAGTCAGATCTAGGGGCCATGTACACACATGAGGGAGTGTGTGTAGGGAACTTGTCCTGGAGTTCTGACCCCACCCTGACCTGCTCTCCCTGTTTCCTCTCCCCTCCACCAGAGATTGTGCACGAGGACCTGAAGATAGGGTCTGATGGGGAGAGTGACCAGGCATCAGCTACATCCTCAGATGAGGTGCAGTCACCAGTGAGGGTGCGCATGCGCAATCATCCCCCACGCAAAATCTCCACTGAGGTGCTGATCCCCTGCCCATGTGGTGGAGGGATTGGGAAAGAGGGTTGGACCAAGGGGCAATGATGGGGCTCATGGAACTGTCTCCACCATTTTGCCTACCAGGACATCAACAAGCGCCTATCACTACCAGCTGATATTCGGTTGCCTGAGGGCTATCTTGAGAAGCTAACCCTCAATAGCCCCATCTTTGACAAGCCCCTTAGTCGTCGTCTCCGTCGTGTTAGCCTGGTGAGCACCTCCTCTCCCTGTCTTGTTTCCTATCCAAGTTCTTTTCCCTGAGTCGGCTTCAACCTGCCTCCTTTCCCTACAGTCTGAAATTGGCTTTGGGAAATTGGAGACCTACATCAAGCTGGACAAACTGGGCGAGGTGAGGGACAACCAGGAGCCCCCTGGTGGGGATAAAGGTCACTCTAAACTCCTGGAGACCTCCGGAGACCTCATCTTCTTTTGTCCTCTTTCTTCATTTCCCAGGGTACCTATGCCACTGTCTACAAAGGCAAAAGCAAGCTAACAGACAACCTTGTAGCACTCAAGGAAATCAGATTGGAGCATGAAGAGGGGGCACCCTGCACTGCCATCCGGGAAGGTACAGACCCTCATCCTGTCTGTCCTAGGATTCCTGGACTCCCTCTATGGCACTCATATATGTTCTGTGGTGAGAACAGAAGTTGGGGATTCTGGGACTTGATGTTCTGGGCTTTGTTCTCCAGCCCTCTAAGAGAAAGTACTCATCACTCACATATCCAGGTAATAATCAGGGTAACTAGGAATCTTCTTTTGTTTGGAGCAAAAGCAGATGATTGGACATTAGGATACGTATTTTAGTTCTAAGAGTAGAACAACAACAGTCTGCTTGAACTTGCATATGAGTAGTTGGTGGTCTATTCCACAATCAGCAGCTGGCCTAGTTTTCACAGTTGATATTAAGCTTCTCCAACAATTCTTTCCACAGATGTAATCTATCTGCTTCCTATGCATACCATTAGGTGAAGTCCATGTGTATAGCCTGCATTTGTGTATCTTATAAAAGGAATTTGTAATAAATAAATCATTGAATGTACAGCAAAAAAAAGAGTACTCTAAAAATGTTCACCAATTTATTTGACCCAAGTTTCTAATCAGAAAATACATGGAGGGGAGCTCTGGTGGCCTAGTGGTAAGAAGCTGTACTGCAATCCCAGAGGCGCACGGTTCGAATCCACCAGAAGCTCTGCCGAGGAAGGAGGGGCAATCTCCTCCTGTACCAGTCAGATCTGATTTGACGGTACCCGCACACAAAATAATAATAATAATAAAAAAAAAGTATTTGCAATGAATAAGTCATTGTGCAGAAATTCAATATGTAGACTCAATTTCACATAATGTTGCAGACCTGTTTACTGAGAGTTAGATCAAGATTCCTTTTCAGAAGAACAAAATTGTGAAAATATTCTGAGTCTGAGGTAATTAATCTTAGGTTCCTCAAAGTCTTAGTTTCCACTTCTGGAATATGGGGACACACTGTCTTCCTAGTATAAGTTAGATCGGAGCCAATGACTGCAAGGCTTTAATCTAGATTGCATAGAGAAAGAAGGAAAACTTGGACTGGTCCCTGTCTAGTACTTTTCCTTATCTCTGTCCTGAGGGTGGGGTCCTGACTCTTTTGCCAGTCCCACCTCCATGTTTCCTGCAGTGTCCCTGCTTAAGGATCTCAAACATGCCAACATCGTCACGTTACATGACATTATCCACACAGAGAAGTCCCTCACCCTTGTCTTTGAGTACCTGGTAAGATGGGTGGCATTAGGTATTTAGGGGAGGTGGAGAGATTGCCAGAACCTTTGTTCTTATACATATCTTTTCATTCTCCAGGATAAGGACCTGAAACAATACCTGGATGACTGTGGAAACATCATCAACATGCACAACGTGAAAGTGGGTGTAGGGAAGGAAGCAGGGGCACAAGGGGGCCTCCGTTTAAACACTCCCAAAATCTCCCAGAAATGGATTTTCCATTTGGCTATTTTACTGGAAGCTCTTGGAGGGTGTTGGGATCCTTTCTTCATTTGTATGGCAAAGTTCTGGGCTCAGTGTCTGTTTGAAAGGGGAAATAGTTCTGACTGAGGGTCAGGCTAGTAGATACACCTTGATCTTTTTCCTGTTATTTCTGCGTCTCCCAGCTGTTCCTGTTCCAGCTGCTCCGTGGCCTGGCCTACTGCCACCGGCAGAAGGTGCTACACCGAGACCTCAAACCCCAGAACCTGCTCATCAATGAGAGGGGAGAGCTCAAACTGGCGGACTTTGGTACACCCTGCCTTCCCCTGCCCTGTAACCATCTAATCTCATTCTCTTTATCCAGGGTCCTTGTCCTCCTACCCCTTTTCTCTGTGGTCCTTCTTTCTACCCCCTTCTTACAGTCTCACTCTGTACTTGCTTACCTGTCCTCAGATCTTTTAAAGGCTCATGTACTCTTATATCCCTCACTTTCGCTTCCTCAGCCTGCTTTTTATTATTGTGTATCATCAAGTTGGTACCAACCCATAGCTGACCTTCCAGTGGGTTTTCAGAGTCTGTAAATCACATGGGAGGAAATTGTCCATCTTTCTCCTGTGGATTCAAACTGTGTGCCTTCGGGTTGGCAGCACAGCTCCTTACCACTAGGCTACCAGACCTTTGTTGTTGTGTACTGTGGAGTCAGAGCTGACTCATAGCTGACCCTTCAGCAGGTTTTCAGAGGCAGTAGATTGCACAGAAGGATGTTTCTTTGGGTTATCACTAAGCTACCAGAGAACGCCCTAATCCCAACTGCATTCTTCCTCATACTTTTCTCAGGACCTCCCCTCAGTTCCAGCTGCCCCTTCTCTTCATTTCGCAGGCCTGGCCCGAGCCAAGTCAATCCCAACGAAGACCTACTCCAATGAGGTGGTGACATTATGGTACCGACCCCCTGACATCCTGCTAGGGTCCACAGATTACTCTACCCAGATTGACATGTGGTGAGGATAGATTTAAATGTGGCATGGAGATTGTTTGATCACAATGACCAACTGCTTTCCTACTCACTATGCTCTCCTTGCCCAGGGGTGTAGGCTGTATCTTCTATGAGATGACCACCGGTCGGCCCCTCTTCCCCGGTTCCACAGTGGAAGAACAACTACACTTCATCTTCCGCATCCTAGGTGAGGGAGCATAAGCTCTAGGAGCCATGGGGGCATGCTAGGGAGGACCTGGGAGATGCTTAGGGTGATTTTTCCTCTTTGCTAGGGACCCCAACTGAGAAGACATGGCCAGGCATCCTATCTAATGAAGAGTTCAAAACATACAACTACCCCAAGTACCGAGCTGAGGCCCTTTTGAGCCATGCCCCCCGGTGAGACTGGTTGGTGAGTGAATGTGTGTTAGGGGCCAGAATGCCAAAACTCAATTTAAAACTCAATTGTCCTTGTGATAGACTTGAGAGTGATGGATCCGATCTCCTCTCCAAGCTGCTGCAGGTGAGACCACCTTCCTGGGCCAGCTTTGAGGGTGGGAGAACTTCCATGTATGGATAAACAAGAACCTCTGGTACAAGATCTGGGGTGGGGAGGAAAAGAGGTCATTTTGTTGAAGGTACTAATATTCCACTACTTCAGTTTGAGGGTCGCAATCGGATCTCTGCAGAGGATGCCATGAAACATCCTTTCTTTCTCAGCCTGGGGGAGAGGATCCATAAACTTCCTGACAGTAAGTGGGGCTGTGGTGTGAACTAGCTGGTGGAAGGCTATTTGGGTACAGAACAACTGCAGGCAGCTGGACAGGTTGTACCTGTGGCTGTGCCTCTCTCTAAGAGATATCAAAATGAAATAAAATTCATTCTTGTTGAATTGATTCTGACTCAGCAACTCAATAGGACAGTAGAACTCCACCATAGAATTTCCAATACTACACCAATATAGAAGCAAACTACCGTGTCATTGTCCTGTGGAACAGCTCACTGACTAGTTAGTTGTTGTTATGTGCCGTTGAGTCTCTTGCAACTCATAGTAACCCTATGTGCAACAGCCCTAAACCCTGCTCTATCCCATGCCAATCACACTGCCTCTGACACACCCATCCCGATTTCCCCAGTCACTGAATCAATCCACCTCATAGAGGGTCTTCCCCACTTGTGCCGTCCCTCCACCCTCCCAAGCATGATGTTCCTCTCCAAGGACCTGTCCGTCCTTAAAACATGTCCAGAGTATGTCAGATGAAGCCCCAGAATCCTTGCCTCCAAGGAGTAGCCCGGTTTAACCCTCTCCAGGATGAATCTGTTTTCTTGTCAGTCCATGGTACATTCAGTACTCTTCTCCAGCACCACAGCTCAAAGGCATCAATTCTCCTTCTATCCTTCCTAGTCCAACTCTCTGATGCATAACAAGTGATTTCAAAGACTGTGGCCTGTACAAGGTAAACCTTAGTCTCCAGAGAGACACTGT